ATTTGTGGTGTGAATAAATGAATAATAGTAATTGAACTTTCTGCATCTCCTGAGAGACCCCCTTGACTTCGTTATGTTCAAAAACTACAGAAAGTGAGAGAAATCTGTTCTTCCCTTATTTTACACACAAGGAAAGTGAGACGCAGAGGAAGTAAGTTAACCCAGTGTACCCAGAGGCTGAGCTAGAGCTGGAGTCCAGGTCTGTTGCCCATGAGTCTGGTGGTCTTCCCCAGAAGGTGAGTGGGATAAGGAGGAAGGATATGCCATTCGTGGTTCCCCTACCCTATGTCAGAGCCTACACTTCAGCAAACTATCTAGTGCTAGCAATGCCAGAGCGTTATAAGGAACCCCATTTTACAGACAAGGAAACTGGGGGCTCCAGGTCAGATCCCTCTGATGACAAAGCCCATGCTCTTTTCTCTGCACACTGCCAGCCCGTACAGCCCTCCTCTGACCCTCTATTAGAGGCAGTGAGACAGCCTGAGTCCATCATTCTGTCTCTCAACCATGTGCTTTAAGCCAGCACCACACACAGCCCCACAATGCAGCCCACACTCCCCGACCACAGGCTGTATTTTACATGGTTTCCAAACCCAGGATATTTGGGTTGTAAGACAAAACCTCCCTTTCTCCAGCAGAAAGTGAACACCACACACAACAACCCAGCCAAACTGCTGATGCCTATAGACACTGCATCACGCCATGATGGGGTCTGGTCTGCCCAGAGACGTCCTCACAGGATCCTGGACTCCCCCAGAGCTTGGCACCGAGGGGACCCTGGAGGGGGAGGGAGACTGAGCTGGCTGCATCGCAGAGTCTGGGTGGAGGCTCCATTCCCAGGGCAGGGGAGAAGTGATCCGGGGGAGAAGTAAAGCCACAGAAGCCCAGTGCTGCCCACCCCAAGAGAATGGGGGTGATCCCTGCCAATCCAAGCAAACTCCCGACCCCACCCCTGCTTCCCACAGAGGGGCAGTCTCCATTGGAGCCTGGCAAGGCCTACGATGCTGATGTTCAAGTCCCGGGGCCAGAGAAGTCGGGCCCTTCGCCCTTCCCCGTTGTCCCAAAGGGGTGGATTTTCCCGTTTTCAGACCTTTTGAACCGGAGGAGTTCTCCGCAGACACTCACTACAGACTCCGACATCAGACACACCTGGATGTAACCATGGCCAGTTCTTCAGCTTCCCCAACTTCAAAACAGGAGTGCCTGTCTCACAGGGTCGCTTCCGAGGTTTCGTGAAACAAAAGATGCAAAGAACCCAAAGAGGGGCTGGCCTTTAGCAGATACTAAATGAATGGGAGTAACCGGGAGTTAGCCTTTCCCCCAGCCACTCTGACAGCCAGGCCCAGCACTGTTGCTGGATCTTAAACCTCTTCTCATTTGGTGGCGCTAAAAGTCCTGGGAACACCTCAAATTCTCAGCAGAGACGCAATCAAATCTGTCTTACCTTTTTGACATGACGTGTATCGGGAAGGAGGAAACCCCTCACGTGCACCAGCCCACCTGCACATCACTTAGTACCAGGTGTTTCCCAGGACCTCAGGCCAATGACTCCTCCTTCCCACTTTGTAACCAAATGCTTTTGGGAGGATCAATGTTAAATGTGGTTAACAGCCACCAGTGTGTGTGTGTGGGGGGGTGACCTCATGCATACTGAGAAGCAGAACCCCAATATAGTGCCTGAAAGCCTACCACTAGTCCTTCTAACCATTCTTTAGTGCTAAACACTGCCTTCCACTGCTCCCCTTGCCAAACATTAATGGCATCAGGCAGGGTAAAATAATCAGTCTTGGAGTCAATTAGTTACAAGTCTCAGCAACTTTCAATGCAGCCAGAGCCCTGTCCTGCATTCAGAGGCCCCTGGTGGCCTACATCTCTTATAGGTAAGAGGTGACAAATAACTCCCTAACCACTTGGTAGGCTTGAAACCCCCTCATTGGGAAGGAGAAAAAAGTGAGCATTTGTCTATGACCTCATAGGTCTGGGAAAGGGGGTAGAAAAGCCTCCTTGTATGTCCCTCCACATTCCGGAGCCCAGACTCCCCAACCTGAGCTCTGGTTCCAGAAGAGCCATCCTTATCAGAGACTATGTGGTCCATGCTGGGGGAGGCAGAGCTCAAGTCCAAGAGACACAGACCTCCCAGCAGAGCCCTGGGCCTAGACAGGGTCATATGAAGAAGGGGTGGCCTTGGGGCCAGGGCCAGGCTTAGGGCAGGGGTCAAACTCCTTCGGGCATCCAGACACTCAGGCTTTTGAGACAGGGAGGAGATGGCAGCTGAAGTACTCAGAGCAAGGGGCATTTATCAATGGCCCAATTCATTCCCAACAATCCCCATTGTCTGAGCCAGCACAGAGATGGGCATTATCTCCCCGCGCTGCTAGAAAGGAAAGCCCCAAGACATACTCATGAGTCTGAGTCCAAAGATACAAGAAGCCAAAATTAAGACATGGTTTGAAAACCAAGTGAAATATTTGAAATTGGAAGTGTCCCCCCCAAAAATCTATGTAACATGCTTCCCATCCTCACAGGCAAATAAAACGCTCAATTGCTGGCTGTTCTTTTATTTATTCTGATCTCTTTCTACAAAGGATATGGGGATTTGCATTCAAAGATGCGTGCACCACAACGTTGTTAAAGCAGAAATTAAAGGTAAAGCCAGGGTTCCAGTTAACACAAGTACTACGGTGAAGCAATGTGATGAACTAAGAGCTTCCTAGCAGCTGGAGTAGGAAGAGAAACACACAGGTTATGTCATGAGCTCAGGGCTCACACAGACCTATAGAAATCCCTTGAGCACTCTCAGCCTCAGTTTCCTTGTCAGGAAAAAAAAAATGGGACTATTAACCTAAGAAGGTTGTTGTGAAAAGTAAAGGAAATAAAGCATATATTCAAGATTCAATAAATACGTTTCTATTACCATTCTTACACACGTCATAATTGCTATTATTCTGTTGTCTGATTTGTCCTTCTTAAACTGGAACTATGTTAACCCTGTGGGGTTGCCCTGATGCTCTATGGTTCCCCATTGTTGCTCTGAAGTTCTGGACTAGCAGGTATATGTATTTGATTAAGAGAAGGGGAGTTGGGGGAAGAGGAAATAGACCAGGACTGAGTCACCATGAGTCCCCTAGTTTTCTAGTCTTTTCTTGAGTCCTGGGGTGGCTGGGGCCCCTACAAAGGGGAAGGCTAGGGAAGGTATGCAGACTTCCTTCACTCTGCAGGAAGGCTGCGGGGCTGACCAGAGCCTGCCCTTACTGAACCATCCCCAGGGGTCAGGCTGAGGACCAGGGCAGGGGAGAGTAGCTCCCTGCACCCTGCTGGGAAAATGGCTGAAGATCATCTCTCCCCTGCATATAAGGAGACTTGGTGGGGTGAGAGCTCAGACACTCCTTGGGCCAAACCATAAACACTAAGTAAGATAAAGCCAATGTCATCTAACTTCCCAGGTGAAGGAGCTCGTAAGTCTGGGCCCCTCACTGAAGCCTGTCCAGAGAAGAATGACATGGATGGAAGAGTTCTAGAAGCCATCATAACAACAACAACAATTCCTCCGAGCACTATCTAGTGTGTCCCCGGTGGTCCCCAGGGGAAGGAGGCCAGGGAGAACAAGATTCTATCAAGCAAAGAGACAACCACTGGGGGAAGGGAGAGGAAGCAAACCCAAAGCCAGCTCTTGCAGCCTAGCCTGAGATGGGAGACTCAAAATAGGGTTGATTAAAACCAAAGAGAAAGAATCAGCCCAGCTCGACTCACTGTCCCTCCCTGTCAAGCGACTGCGGTGTGGCCCCAGCCCTCAGAAGGTTCATGGCTTTTCTACAGCAGGGGGAATCCGGAGCAAACCAGAGCCTGGAGCAAGCTGCAGGCGCGCGCTCTGCCTCAGTCTGCAAGCCTGGCCTTTTCATTCGTAAGAGGGTGAAAGCTGCTTCTGAGTCCAGGACCCTTAAGCCCCAGGCTACACCGGCAGCCTCAGTTCTAGACCAAACGGAAACCCCCAGAGGCACTGTGTTATCCAGCATCTGCCCAGAATCCACAGCCAAAGTCCCTTACTTAAAATAATCCTCACCAGGGGATCCCTGGATGGCTCAGAGGTTTAGTGCCTGCCTTAGGCACTGGGTGTGATCCTGGAGTCCCGGGATCGAGTCTTGCGTCAGGCTCCCAGCATGGAGCCTGCTTCTCCCTCTGCCTATGTCTCTGCCTCTCTCTCTCTGTCTCTTATGAATAAATAAATACAATCTTAAAAAAGAAAAAAAGATAATCCTCACCATGGCCAGGTTCTCCTTGGTCCAAGGTGCCATACATAGGCTAAAGGGGACCCAGAAAGGAGGTCTGGAGGCTGAGAGCCCCTAAGCTGGGGGCTGGGAGGGGGGCATGTTTGTGCATATGCACAGTGCACACACGGAGGTACGTCTTGCATTCAAGTCACCGTCCACAGGTACACGTGTTGAAAGCATGCGAGTGTTTGCGTGGACGTCCCCACTGGAAGTGCACGCAAGGCTGGCGCGTGTGGGTCGCAACGTGTGTACACAGGAGCGGCTGGGCGTGGGGGTGTGAGCGCCCTACGGGTGTTGGTGAGCGCACACGACTGACGGGGTGGTCTGCTCAACCCCTCACTGTCCTCTCATGTCCTCCTGCCTCCTGGGGCGGCCGGCGGCTCCCCCGCGCTGCGCCCTGGCCCTGGCCGGCCCGCCGGGTCCCCGGAGCGCCACCGACCCCGGGGTCGCGCAAGGACTCCGAGCTCCCCCCGCCCCGCCCTGCTTACCGCCCCCGAACGACCCACAGGGGAGACATCCCAGCTGGGGACAAGCTCGGCCACCCGCGAAGTCCGCGCGCAGGCACCGCTGCGCCTCCGTGCGCGCCCACCCCCGGGGCCGCCGCGGCCCCGGCCCCCCCGCACAGCGCGGCCCCGGCCCCCCCCCCCCGCACAGCGCGGCCCCGGCCCCCCCGCACAGCGCGGCCCGCTGCACCTGAGCCCCCGCGCGCCCCCCGCGCTCTCTCTCACTCACGCGCACGGCCTGGGACGCGCGCTGCAAAGTTCCCCGGGCTCGCACGCGGCCGGCGGGCTCCGCAAGGGCGCGTCGGGGGGCTCCTCCGGCGGGAGCCGCGGCCTCGGAGGCGGGGCGCCGCGGGGCTCCCGAGGCCGGGCCGGGAGGGGCCGCCCCCGCCCCGCCCCCGCCCCCAGCCCGCCCCCTGCCCGCTGCCCGCCGCGGGACCTTCCACGCCCGCGCGCCCCGCCCCATCCCCGCGGGCCGCGGAGCTCTTTCTGGGGCCCCGTCGGGGCGCTCGCTCCCGCCTAATGAGAGCCCCGGCTCGGCCCCGGGGCCTGCGGGAGGCAGGGCCGGGACGCACCCCCGGGGGCCAGGAGGCCGGGGTGCCCGTGCGCCCCGCGCGCGCCAGCATCTGCAGAGGGGCGGGTGGGGGGGTCGGCGCGGTTCCCAGGCTCTGCGGAGGGAGCCGGTCCCCAAATGCCTGGCGTGCGACTGGCTTATGCGCCGCAGGTGCTTCCCTTTGCAATCTAAGCGGCCCAGGTAAGGTCACAGACCTCCGTCCACCGACCTGCCAAAAACCACAGAGGCTGTTTGTGGAGACTCCTTTCTGGCTCGGGGCACACCAGACTTCCCCTGTGGACTCCTCTGTGTCAGATGGCTAAGTCTACGGGGAAAAAAGGCCGATTCCTACCCAAAAGCTCAGGAATGTTGCATTCCTGAACGGGAAGGAAGCTGCAAGGTCATTCCATCCAATTGCCTCCGCCCTGCGGAGGCAGAAATCCAACCCGGCCTGAAGGGCCCCTACCCGCTCTGGGGGATCATGAAGGTAAGTCAGCCGCGAGCACCCCCCAACCCCCCACCGTCAGGCCCTCTTCCTTCCTTGCACCCTCTAGTTGGCAGGAAGTTCTCCTTGGCATCTAGCCGAAATCCCTCATGTGTAAACTATATCAATATACTCACGCTCCGTGTTCAGAAGAGGGAAGGAGGCCAGCTCCAGCTCCAGCTCCATGACACAATGGCTGCTCCAAGGTCCCATCTCAGCCTTCTCTTCCCTGATGCTAATACCTTTGTTCCCTTTTCCAGGCCCTGCCTAACAAGGACAGTTGCACCCAGACCCTGGACACGTCGCAGCTCCTGACATTAACTCAACTGCCCCAGCTCTCTGGGAACCCAGGCTCTGGGGACCCAAGTCATTCAGAGGAGCCAGCTTCACTGACAGCTTCCATCTATCCAGGGGAGTCTGATTCCACCCCCCAGCCCCTGCAGAGGAGCTTGGGTTCCTATTTCAACCACATCTGTCTCAGGGCCTGGGAGCAGATCTTGAGGCCCCAGACACCCACATGGCTGGGCATTTAACACTGGGGCCTCAGCCTCCCTCAAATGGGCACTGTTGGCGGAATCTTTTCTCTGAGTCCATTTCTGGTAGGTTGGATTGTATAATAAAAATAGTCTGGGGGCGCCTGGGTGGCTCAGTAGGTTAACCATCTGCCTTCAGGTCAGGTCGTGATCTTCAGGTCCTGGGATTGAGCCCCACATCGGGCTCCCTGCTCAGCGGGGAGTTTGCTTCTCTCTCACTCTCCCTTTGCCCGCCCTCCCTGCCCATTCCCACCCCCTTTCTCTCCCCCTCAAATAAATAAATACAATCTTTTAAAAAAAAGTCTGGACTTTCTCCTCAAAGAGACCTAACTTACCATCCTGCCTTTACTACTTTCTAGCTGGGTGTCCTTGGACAAGTCACTTAGCCTCTGTATGACTCAGTTTTCCCCTATTTACAATAGGAATCATAATAATCTGCCTAGCTCAGAGGGCATTACAAGTGTGAGATGAGACCAGGAATGTAAAAGTACCTGGAAAGCCAAGATATTTTTTAGTATGCTAGTAATGGAATGAGGCTTAGGTCATAAACAGGATAAGTACTGAAGTACTGGCAAAAGCCTCAGAAACCTTTTATTTCCAGGACCAAAATTTGTGCCTGGGTTTCAGAGCAAGAGAAGAACAGACTTGGTTTGCTAGAGGTTCCTTTAGGGCACTTGTATGAATGTCCCCCACCCTGCATTCCCCAGTAAACACACACACACTCACTTTCCCAGATACGTACTGTACAGTCCAGTCTCCTGGCCTCCTGTCGGCCCCATAGGCCCCAGCTGCCTCTACCCTCGCTGGCCGCCTCTCCATTCCCCGGAGGCCGCCTCATGGCTGCAGCAACTCCAAATCTCCCTACAGAGGCCCCTGCGGGCAACTCCTCTCTCCTCGCTCATCCTTCTGGGCCATGGCTCATGCAAAGCCTGAAGTCAAGGCAAAGGTGGCAGAGACCTTCTCCAAGGCAAGGCAGTTCGGAATTGAGGCCGCCCAAGGGAGCTCAGAGCTGGAACACCATCCCCCTTGACCCCCTCCTCTCTGTCTGCCTGGCTTCCCAGTGCTGTCCTGTTTAATTCTTAATGGAAATTCCATCCCTAGCGCCGGCCTGGCTGGCTTAGGGAGTCCAGGCTTGGGCCAACAGCAAACTCCACCCAGAGACAAGAGGCCTGTCTGGCCATATAAACACAGATACGCCATAGGCACATACGTATACACACACGAGCAGAGACACTTGCCCAGAGACATTCACACATTCAGAGATTCTCACCCAGATACACCAAAAGATACAAGGCATTATAGTCATTAAGACTTAGGGCATGGTGCTAAGTACTTTGCCGATATCAACTCCCCTGATCCCCACAATAATACTGCATTCTGGTGTTATCCCCAATGTACACATGAGGAAACTGAGGCATAGGGAGACTAAGCCACTTGCATAAGGCATCTAGTAATGATAGCCTAACGCAGGAGTACTAAGAACTGTGGAAGGGGCTTATGTGCATTTTCGTTTTGCTACAAAAAGTCGTCAGTTTTTGTGGAAGTTACTATTACCCCATTGTACAGACAAGGAAAATGGAGGTTGAGTGGTTTAAGTCACCTGCCGGTGGCCTCAGAGCTTGTGACATGCAGGCCAGCTTTATACAGATATGCACGGGAAACCTCACAGATGAACATGAGACACACAGGCAAGGAGATACATGCGCAGCCGAGCACGCACTCAGAGGCACAACCATGGTTGTGCACAACCAAAAGAAGCCTCAGGAATTGTCTAGAGCTGCCTTAGGCAAAGGTCCCCTGTAGCCTGAGTCCGTGCTCTATTTCCCCTCCAGCTCTACCAACTTCACAAATTACTTTAGTAAGGGCAAGTTCAGACCTAAATGGAGGGAAGATTTCGGGTTTACAGTTGAGCCAGCCAGGTCAGTAATCAGCCCCCCACCTCAGCTCCAAATCTGCTTGGTCCAACATACCTCAAGGTCAGTGGTAGAAGGCTAGGGTGCACTTTTCTGAAGGGATCTGGAGGGAATACCTCAGAGACTCTGGGCACTGTTGAGAAGCTAGCCTAGGAGGGCTCCCGGCCCCCAGGACCAGATGAGGGACAACAAGACCCCAATCAGGGTACAGCAGGAGAGCTCAGATAGAACAGAGCATGTGTTGCCCGAGGGAGCTGGAACCACATTACAGTCAGGGTCAGACTTTGGCGGGAGGACGAATGGAGGAGAAGACAGGGCAGGGCCATGATATAGGACAAGTAGCAACATCCAGAGCCCGAAGTCCAGGGAGTTAAGAGAACAGGTCTGCAGAAGGAGGGAAGCGTTTGGCATCCAAGAACTTGTCCACTGCTTGAAGCTTTCACACTATGCTGGACATCTCCAAGCAGAGTCTGTGCTGGCCCTGGGCCTCCCCCCAGGAAGGCTTGTCATAATCAGGCTTACCTCCGTTGTCTGTTGTGGTTTCCCACCCTGCACCCCCATCCCAGAATCCCCTGTTTGTGTTCTCAAAAGCCCATCCACTCTGTGAGCCCAGGACAGCTCAGCAGGGCAGCCCCATGGGCCATCTGGATGGTAAAAAGGTTTTAGGAAAAAGGAATGCCAAACTCCCACAAGTGAACCTGGAATCACATCATCAGGCAAGGGCTCTAAGAGGCCTTAGAGCGATTCTGAGTCAGAGAATTTGCATTCCTAAAAAGTTCTCTCTCTGTGTGTCTCTCATGAATAAATAAATAAATAATTTTTAAAAGATTTTTAAATTTATTTATTCATGACACACACACACACACACACACACACACACAGGCAGAGACACAGGCAGCGGGAGAAGCAGGCTCCATGCAGGGAGCCCGACGTGGGACTTGATCCCGGGTCTCCAGGATCACGCCCTGGGCTGAAGGCAGATGCTCAACTGCTGAGCCACCCAGGCTGCCCAGCATCTGGAATTGTAACTGGTCAGACCAAAGGTTATTAGTGGCCAGATCACTGAACTGGAGTGCCCTGGACAGCAGGCACATGAATTCCAGGCACTGAGGGCCTCAGGGCTAACTTGCCCTTCCCTAGCCTCAATTGTTCAGCTCTTCATTGAATTCAGAGAGATTCCTAAGCATCCTCCCCAGAAGTTCCCTGCCTTAATAAGCTATTTTCCATTACTTCCAACCAAAACCACCTTTGGAAATAAAGCCACAGAGCAAGTTAATAGAATTAAGAACCCAAGATCCCCACCCCCTTGCCTTGCCCCTATTTCCAGCTCTCAGATGGGCTGCAGAAGAATGAGTAAGCATGGAAATAAGCCATTCCTCAGGGCAGTGGTTTTTACAAGAGGATCCCAACCAGTGCCCCTGGGCTTGTATAGGAAATGCAAATTCTCAGGTCTCCCCTCCCAACTGAGGAATCAGAAACTCTGGGGCTGGGGTCCAACAAGCTATGGCTTCACAAACCATCTGGGTGATCCTGATGCCCACTAACCTTCGAAGACTGCCATTCTAGAAGGAGGGGCTATAGTTTCTGCTTCCATGACAATGAACCAAAAGCTGTTTGGCTCAGGAGGAAAGGTCATCAGGATGCCAGACCAGCACCAGCTGTTTGGCCGTCACACGCCTTCCTGGCCGGCCTCCTTAACCCCAATGCTCCTGGGGACTCCAGCATCAGAGCTGTGGCCATGCATTTTGAACTAAGACAGAGGCCCTCTTTCCAAAGTCTAAGGGGCCAACGTCTTTCCAAAAACAGCAGGA